TCTTTCTTTCTTTTTTCTTTCTTTCTTTAATTCACTGTCTATCTTTTCCAACTTTGCATTTCTTTCTTCATTTTTATATCTTTCGTTCTTTCCTTCTTTCTTTCTTTCTTTCTTTCTTACGTTAATTCAATGTCTATCCATAAACTTTGGATTTCTTTCTTTTTCCATCTTTCTTTATTTCTTTCTTTCTTTCTTTCTTTCTTTAATTCACTGTCTATCTTTTCAAAATTTGCATTTCTTTCTTTCTTTTTCTATCTGTCTTTTCTTCTTTCTTTTTTTCTTTCTTTCTTTCGTTAATTTATTGTCTATCCATAAACTTAGGATTTCTTTCTTTCTTTCTTTAGTTCTTTGTCTATCTATTCCAACTTTGCATTTCTTTCTTTTTTTATTCCTCTTATTAAACTGTTGCCTATGCAATCGATCTTTTCTTTCTTTCTTTCTTTCTTTCTTTCTTTCTTTCTTTTCATTGAGTTCAGTCATTCTTAAATTTCTTCACTTTCCTCATTTTTCTTCTTTTTTTCATCCTTTCCCTTTTGGTTAACATTTTTTCTTTTTTCTTTTTTGTTTTCTTTTCTTTTATTTTTCTCTTTTCTTCTGTTTTTCCATCTTTACCAGCCAATCGAGCTTTCTTTCTTTCTTTGCTTTTCTATGTTTTTCATTCAATTCTTTTCTTTCTTTCCATCTTTCTTTACTTCTCAAACACCAAGCAGAAAATCTATGCCCCCGACCTCTTTGGAATTATCTCTCCATTCGATGAAAAAAATCAATAAATTGTTCATAATTTCATTATAAAAAAAAAATCGTCCGATAATTCAGCGTTTCTCTTTCTTCTTTAGTTAGAAAAGTGCGGTCCGCTCTGCCAATACCATTGAGTAATTTGAATCGTCAGTGGAAGTTTCGGAAAGATATATCAGAGCCGCAGTTTGGTTTCAGTGAGAAAAAGAAAGAAAGAAAGAAAAGAAAAGAAAAGCTAGCTTGGTATCGAAATATATTTAGTATCTGTTTCAGTAAAATGGAAAAAAAATTTCGAATTTTCATATTTGTACTCTACTGCTTATATTTATATATGTATATATAGCTGTCCACTAGTATTCAAGGATACCCGTCTATAGGGTGGATAGTAGTCCCTATTGCAGACGTTTGCTCAGACGCATTTGTGTTTATTCAACACCCACAGATCCCTGTGGTTGATACTGCAACTATGCTGAGCAGACCTTAGATACAGTTTCTGGGGAAGAGAGTGTTATCTAGCGTGATCAACAATTTGAACAAGGCCAGTACGCTCAAGCCCTCGGCCACGATGACTTGTGACTTCGTGCTAGCACAACTATTGATGGCTCCCAAGGGTTCCGTCTACCTAATTTCACTCACAAGGCTGAGGTGAATCCGTGGTATGTTTTTGCAGGTATTTTCTAAATGTGCCACACGCTGGGCTCGACCCCTCCAGTCGATAACATCAGGAAATCGCCTTCCTGACAAATTGATCATGGTGAGAACCCGAGTCTCATGGTCAGAATTTGAACGTTCTAACCACACGTGCCCATATTGCTTATATATATATATATATATATATATATATATATATATATATATATATATATATATATACACCTAGTGAGCCAGACAAACCTACCTAGGTTTCACCTAAACGGATCGTCAGGGAAAGTTTGACTTTCCTGACGATCCGTTTAGGTGAAACCTAGGTAGGTTTGTCTGGCTCAATGTATCTAGGTCTGCTCTACGGTTGTATTGAGCTCTTTTGTTAGTTAGTTGTTACTCGTATCGGGGTTTTTTTTTGGACTTCAGACCTGCATCTGTGCGATTTTTTTGTCGGCAGAAGTCCATGTTTGTAGCTCTTTCTTTTTTTAAAACCTTTTTTTCCCTCGAAATTGATTTGATTAGCAAATCAAAATTCGAGGGTTTTTTCGAAACGAGTCTAGTTATATATATATATATATATATATATATATATATATATATATATATATATATATATATATATATATATATATATAATTTACCCCCATTGCTGCGTGTCTTTTTGTAAGAGAATGATGATCCTTGTTATAATTTATTTGTGGAGAAAAATGATGCATTTCAATATTACTCAATGACCTTGCCGATGTGACCTCCATCTTCTGGCTTTCTCCTTCTATATTTTGGATAGGAGTCATTCCCTGGTTCAAATTTAAATTTAATTTAAACCAAGATAGCTTAGATAAGCAATGCACAATTCCTTTTCTATTTTGAGGATAGCGAGAAGAAAACATATATCAAAGGCGCTGTTTAGTTTTCGGAAAAGAAACGAAAAAGAAAGAAAGGGAAGTTAGAGAAGCCGATAGCACTCTCATGTTGTTAACGTCTGCTTCCTTGAAATTGTAAACCTTGTGAATTTTTAATCTTTTCATTTTTACCTTCTTCTTTAAATAATAACCTACATTCTTTTTGTGACGTACGGTGGACGTTAATAATTAAGTATAGCTCAATACTTCAATGTTAAAATAAAACAGTATTTAATTACAACTGCAAATAATTACTTAACAAGAATAAAGAAGTAAAAATCAACCAAAGATAATTAACCATTTCAATGAATATCTTGTTAGTCGCGCGGCCCGGCTTAACGTCCGGTAAATCCTAAATCAAAACCCAAATCGTCGACGCACAATAATTCACACTAATTCGACTGGATAGTTCCACTAAACAGTCACTCAATAATCACTGCAGTCAGTAGCCTGACATCGCTATTTATACACCTCGCGGAAAGCATATATTCGTAAGCCCAGAGTTTCACGTTCAAATCTCGGTGTCGTTAGTTACTCATTTTCTTCCTATACAGTGTAACCCGGATATAAGAGAGTTGTCTCTTATATCCGGTTTTTGATCTATTTTATATACATTAACACAGGCTCTAATTTGGGACCAGAGAAAATCTCTCTATATCCGGGTTTCTCTTATATCCGGGTTTGGTCTATTTTATATACATTAACACAAGCTCTAATTTGGGACCAGAGAAAATCTCTCTTATATCCGGGTTTCTCTTATATCCGGGTTTCTCTTATATCCGGGTTTGGTCTATTTTATATACATTAACACAGGCTCTAATTTGGGACCAGATAAAATCTCTCTTATATCCGGGTCTCTCTTATATCCGGGTCTCTCTTATATCCGGGTTTGGTCTATTTTATATATATTAACACAGGCTCTAATTTGGGACCAGAGAAAATCTCTCTTATATCCGGGTTTCTCTTATATCCGGGTTTGGTCTATTTTTATAGACATTAACACAGGCTCTAATTTGGGACCAGAGAAAATCTCTCTTATATCCGGGTTTCTCTTATATCCGGGTTTGGTCTATTTTATATACATTAACACAGGCTCTAATTTGGGACCAGAGAAAATCTCTCTTATATCCGGGTTTCTCTTATATCCGGGTTTGGTCTATTTTATAGACATTAACACAGGCTCTAATTTGGGACCAGAGAAAATCTCTTTATATCCGGGTTTCTCTTATATCCGGGTTTGGTCTATTTTATATACATTAACACAGGCTCTAATTTGGGACCAGAAAATCTCTCTTATATCCGGGTTTCTCTTATATCCGGGTTTGGTCTATTTTATAGACATTAACACAGGCTCTAATTTGGGACCAGAGAAAATCTCTCTTATATCCGGGTTTCTCTTACATCCGGGCCTCTTATATCGGGGTTACACTGTATTACAATTCTTACTTAAGATCGTTAATGCAATATTTAGGTAAAGTTGTTACGCTCAAATATATAATGATGCAATATAGGAATGTCCACAGGTATTTTGTAGTCTTTGAACCTGCAAGGGGCATGCTTATTTTTGATACTTCAGAATATTCAACAAGGCAAACCGTGGAATTTTCACCTTTAGTGCTAGTAAAGAAAATATTATATTCCAGACGGAAATAAACTCACCGATTCACTTCTGTCCCGGCAATACAAAACAAAAATAAACAAATGAATAACTAAATATTAGCGCAGGCTTTAAAATTAGAAAATATATTTGCCTTCATACAAACTATTATTTTAAAAGAAGACCCCTTTTAAAGCAAAACCCTATTTTAAAAAAAGGCTCTGTTTAAAACTAGTTCCCCTTTTGAAGAATACCCCATTTAAAACAAGAGCCAATTTCGAAGAATACTCCATTTAAAACAAGAGCCAATTTCGAAGAATACCCCATTTAAGACGAGAGTCAATTTCGAAGAATACTCCATTTAAACAAGAGCCAATTTTGAAGAATGCCCTATTTAAAACGAGAGTCAATTTCGAAGAATGCCCCATTTAAAACAAGAGCCAATTTTGAAGAATACCCCATTTAAAACAAGAGTCAATTTCGAAGAATACCCCCATTTAAAACAAGAGACAATTTCGAAGAATATCCCATTTAAACAAGAGCTAATTTCGAAGAATACCCCATTTAAAACAAAAGTCAATTTCGAAGAATACCCCCATTTAAAACAAGAGTCAATTTCAAAGAATACCCCATTTAAAACGAGAGTCAATTTCGAAGAATACCCCATTAAAACAAAAGCCAATTAAAAGAAAACCCTATCCAAAGCAAAACCCCGTTTAACAGTATCGAAATAAATAAATAAATAAATAAACATTAAATACAGACACAAATGCAGTTAATGTAGACACACTTAAACAATAGACACACCACCTAAAGAAATAATTGGTGCGACCGTTATTCACTGAAAATTAATAAGACGTGTGTCACAGTACGAATCAGAAAGTCTGTGACTTTAAAAACTCCTCATTACCCCCACACACATAACGACCCTCCACCATTCTATGACAAATCCTAAAATGACTGCTTAAGCTTCCAATTCTTAACTTTTCACCCCAAATTCTTCAAACCCAACAAACCTCTCACCGGGTTTCTAATCCACCCTCCCACTTTTTTTTTTTTTTGACCAACGGCTGGTCGGCTTCACTATAACGACGTTTGGCTAGGATGGGCTAGTTACAGATTTACGGTGGTGGGGGGCGGTGAGGAAAGCGAGCGACAGGAGATAGACGTGAGAGAGAAAAAAAAGATGACTTTCGGGTAATACAAAAGAGAGAAGAGAAAAAAAAATGGCTCGAAAAGTTGACCTCAATATGGCGGACGATGACGTGCTCCGTGAAGCCTGTAATAAGTGTGTTTGCATCTAAAGAGCGATTTGTTGGGGGAGGGACAGAATAGGGATGGGTAGAGGAGAAAGACGGATAAAAGAAAGAGGGGTGAGTTTGGAGGACGGGGGAATGAGTTAGCAGGCAAACGGGTTTGGTTCGGTGCGCGTGCGAAAAGGCAGGGTGAGTGGGAGTTGAAAGTAAAGAAGTTATTCTGACGGAACCGTAAGACAAAAGTAAACCTCATGAAAGCAGAATATGGGAAGGGTTCGGGTTCGAATCCTAGTATTGTTATATTTATTGCTTGTTTAGGTCAGTCGTCAAATACTTGCGTGACAAGCAACTATGAATGCAGTATTTTTTTTTTAATTATTTTATCTGTTTATTTTTATTTATTTTATGTTTTTTTACGACAGAATTGTTCAAAGGGAAACTCGAAGGCACACGCGAAAGTTTAACATCTAATCAGCGGCTTGTGGATATATACGCGAATTACAGGAGTGCCTGGATCTCAACAAATTTTGATTAATTCAGTACCATTTGCTTTGGTTTAGTTTGATTTGTTTCATGGCATATCAACATCAATGGCTTATTTAATGCCGACAAGATGTTTATTGATGGTAACATTTTTAACTATATATCTATCAATCTATCTATCTATCTCAGTATATATTAGTTTGGTTTGGTTTATTTTGTTTTACGGCATATCAACCTCAATGGGTTATCTAATGCCGACCATATTTTTAGGATAGATTCATATGAATAGAATATGTATTCTTTGGTTTAGATTGGTTTGGTTTATTTTGTTTTACGGCATATCAACCTCAATGGGTTATTTAATGCTGACAACATTTTTAGGATAGATTCGTATGAATAGAATATGTATTCTTTGCTTTAGATTGGTTTGGTTTATTTTGTTTTACGGCATATCAACCTCAATGGGTTATTTAATGCCGGCAACATTTTTAGGATAGATTCGTATGAATAGAATATGTATTCTTTGGTTTAGATTGGTTTGGTTTATTTTGTTTTACGGCATATCAACCTCAATGGGTTATTTAATGCCGACAACATTTTTAGGATAGATTCATATGAATAGAATATGTATTCTTTGGTTTAGATTGGTTTGGTTTATTTTATTTTACGGCATAACAACCTCAATGGGTTATTTAATGCCGGCAACATTTTTAGGATAGATTCATATGAATAGAATATGTATTCTTTGGTTTAGATTGGTTTGGTTTATTTTATTTTACGGCATAACAACCTCAATGGGTTATTTAATGCCGACAACATTTTTAGGATAGATTCATATGAATAGAATATGTATTCTTTGGTTTAGATTGGTTTGGTTTATTTTATTTTACGGCATAACAACCTCAATGGGTTATTTAATGCCGGCAACATTTTTAGGATAGATTCATATGAATAGAATATGTATTCTTTGGTTTAGATTGGTTTGGTTTATTTTTATTTTACGGCATAACAACCTCAATGGGTTATTTAATGCCGACAACATTTTAGGATAGATTCATATGAATAGAATATGTATTCTTTGGTTTAGATTGGTTTGGTTTATTTTATTTTACGGCATAACAACCTCAATGGGTTATTTAATGCCGACAACATTTTTAGGATAGATTCATATGAATAGAATATGTATTCTTTGGTTTAGATTGGTTTGGTTTATTTTATTTTACGGCATAACAACCTCAATGGGTTATTTAATGCCGACAACATTTTAGGATAGATTCATATGAATAGAATATGTATTCTTTGGTTTAGATTGGTTTGGTTTATTTTTATTTTTACGGCATAACAACCTCAATGGGTTATTTAATGCCGGCAACATTTTTAGGATAGATTCATATGAATAGAATATGTATTCTTTGGTTTAGATTGGTTTGGTTTATTTTATTTTACGGCATAACAACCTCAATGGGTTATTTAATGCCGGCAACATTTTTAGGATAGATTCATATGAATAGAATATGTATTCTTTGGTTTAGATTGGTTTGGTTTATTTTATTTTACGGCATAACAACCTCAATGGGTTATTTAATGCCGACAACATTTTTAGGATAGATTCATATGAATAGAATATGTATTCTTTGGTTTAGATTGGTTTGGTTTATTTTATTTTACGGCATAACAACCTCAATGGGTTATTTAATGCCGGCAACATTTTTAGGATAGATTCATATGAATAGAATATGTATTCTTTTGGTTTAGATTGGTTTGGTTTATTTTATTTTACGGCATAACAACCTCAATGGGTTATTTAATGCCGGCAACATTTTTAGGATAGATTCATATGAATAGAATATGTATTCTTTGGTTTAGATTGGTTTGGCTTATTTTGTTTTACGGCATATCAACCTCAATGGCTTATTTAATACCGACAACATTTTTAGGATAGATTCGTATGAATAGAATATGTATTCTTTGGTTTAGATTGGTTTGGTTTATTTTGTTTTACGACATATCAACCTCAATGGGTTATTTAATGCTGACAACATTTTTAGGATAGATTCGTATGAATAGATTATGTTTTCTTTGGTTTAAATTTGGCTGAATCTTAAAACCTCAAAATGTAGGTGTGTAATATTTTTGACACTGTCATAGTCATTTTTACACATGCCATAATGTAGATATTGTAGACTCTAAACAACTCTTACATTTCATTTCAGAATAATTCTGTCTTAATTCAATAAATCGATAATAGCATTGATTTCTTTATAGACAGTTTTTAAATTTAACTTTCATGCATTTTTGCAATCACAAACTGCATTTATCAATAACAAGTTCTTCAGAGAAGAAACTGTCAAATATGTAAATTTTAAATACCGATCATCATCATCAGCTTTGCTCAAATTGTTTAATTTGACGCTCTTCCATTTTCCTCTACGCTTGAGAATGGAGGATTGGTGTGGCCCAGAAGTGGAATAGCCTCGGGTGTCTCTTTATCTAAATCCGGTCCTGTCGCTTGTGAAACCAAATTACCTCTGTAACTCCAACTATGGATTTGCACGTCCGAATGAATTCGACCCCTGCTACGCTTGGTCAACTTTCGTTCAGATCCGGCTCAACCGGCCGAGTGAATGCCGCAACACACATACAGTTACATTTAATAAATGTACTTCAACGTTGTGCAACAGCTAGCAACCTTGTCTCGATAGATCAATTCAACTGAGCATCAATTTCGATCCTCGCTGGGTGTTCCATATTTTCGGCCTTGTGCCATATCAAATCTCCGCTTGGTAAATTGCCAGCGCTGCGATCAAAATGCGGTATCTGTTCACTTTTGGGATGAATACATACCTCTGGAGATTCCAGTTGAGCTGAAACTCCAACTATGGATTTGCACGTCCGAATGAATTCGACCCCTGCTACGTTTCGGCAACTTTCGTTCAGATGCGGCTCAACCGGCCGAGTGAATGCCGCAACACACACACACACACACACACACACACACACACACACACACACACACACACACACACAGCTGCTATATTATCAGCTAGATCTCATAATATCCGAAATTACTGGTAGCCATAAGTTTCTTCACTCCCACGTCTCGCTTGTGATACTCTCTTCCCGCTTCTTTCTCTCCAGGCAATTACATTTAATAACTGTACTTCAGCCTGGTGCAACAGTTAGCAACCTTGTCTCGATGGGTTTTCCATATTGTCGGGCTTGTGCCATATCTAATTTCCGCTTGGTAAATCCCCAGCACTTGGATCAAAATGCAGTATCTGTTCGATCTTGTGATGAATACATACCTCTGGAGCGATATTGTACTATAAACAGGTATATTGTTCGGAGTTACTTTTATTCTGTCAAAATGAAGATAACCAACACCGCCTTCTTTTTGTTTTTTATTTTGTTATTGTGTATCAAATATTGATTATGATAGGGCGCGGAAATTTTTCGGACCTACACACTTCACCAAACCAAAAACCAAATAAGGTTGATTTAGGAGAAGTGGGTTAAGTTTAGGCCGACAGCTCTTTAGCATTCGTCACAGATACAGCCTTATTTTTCAAAGTCACAATCGATTTTGTTGACAAGACAGATTGGTATAAAATGACAATTGGAATACCAATCTGTCATGTCCATAGAATTGATCTGGGAATTTAACTATATTGTCCACATGGAAAAAAATCCCTTACTATAAAGGTAATTTACATTAACCAGAAAAAAAGGCTTAGACAGAGGTGTCTATCTTTTTTAAATTTGGAATTTTTAATGTAACTATAACAACAAAAATATTTCGATTTCATTTATGCCTTGAAAAAATCGGAAGACGAAACGCGTCGGCAAAATGTAAGATTTTTTTTCCAACTGTCATTTTATACCATATATATATATATATATATATATATATTGTAGATAACTAATTCACAACTCAGTGAAGTTTATATCATATATATATATATATATATATATATATATATTCTAGATTACTAATTCACAACTCAGTGAAGTTTATACCATATATATATATATATATATATATATATTCTAGATAACTAATTCACAACTCAGTGAAGTTTATATCATATATATATATATATATATATATATATATATATATATATATATATATATATATATTCTAGATTACTAATTCACAACTCAGTGAAGTTTATACCATATATATATATATATATATATATATATATATATATATATATATATATATATTCTAGATAACTAATTCACAACTCAGTGAAGTTTATGCCATACATATATATATATATATATATATTCTAGATAACTATTATAATTCACAACTCAGTGAAGTTTATACCATATATATATATATATATATATATATATATATTTCTAGATAACTATTATAATTCACAACTCAGTGAAGTTTATACCATATATATATATATATATATATATATATATATATATATATATATATATATATATCTAGATAACTAATTCACAACTCAGTGAAGTTTGTATTGCTTGAAAATTGAGGGAGTTTTAGTTTAAAATTTGTGTTGAAATCGATTTTTCGTTTTTCGCGGTTTTTCGCTAAACGCTGTGGCGTAGAAATAAAAATGAGGTTTCGCTGAGCTCGTCATGATGTAAGTAACCTAGATACCGAGCTTGAACGAAATCGAAGGAAAAAGTTGAATTTATCGATATTTGATCGAATTTATCGGTTATTGATTTTTTTTAAAAATTATCGATTTT